GAGTCGTTCTTTTTTGGTACACTATATAAGAAGAGTCTTTTTTGGTACACTATATAAGAAGAGTCTTTTTTGGTACACTGTATAAGAAGAGTCTTTCTTTTTTGGTACACTCTATAAGAAGAGTCTTTCTTTTTGGGACACTGTATAATATGTGTCTATCTTTTTTGGTACACTGTATAAGAAGAGTATTCTTTTTTGGTACACTAAGAATAGTCTATCTTTTTTGGGTACACTGTATACCTCTTTATGTTCTTGTTGATTATGCTGGTTATAAATTTCGTTGGAAAATATTTTTTACTTAAATAACATTCAATGTTATTAATTTCTTTTATGGATATTTCTGTATTATTGGTAAGTTTATAGGCTTTGTATACATCAATTCTAATAAGATTTTATTGGTATAAAACTGTTATATCTGAAATAAAAAATTGAAAACTTTGCTATTTTCTAGTTATAACATCCGATATTTGATATGACAGGTCTCATTGGACAGTGTAGTTACTGTATTTTTGATAATCGATAAATAATACCAGCTTGTGAATCAGTTGGTCTTATTTCTTTGCATAATTGTTTATCTATAATATCATCTATAATATCTACTTAGCTTTGAGAGCTCAGTAACAACATAACTTTCAAATTTTTTTCTTCATTTGTGAGTTCATATCTGCAGTTAACACACTCCCGAAGGTTTAAGTATATGTTTCTGTGTTGCGTGAGCTCGCATCTATTACATACAATATAGGTTGTTAACAAGCATCTGAAGGGATATATGATGCCTGTTCTTCGAGTCCACGTTTTAAACGTATATTCTTTATAAACTAACTAATAATAATAATAAAGACCACCGACTTGTCTAGATGTGTCCTTGAATTCTAACTCCTGTTTTTGTTTTTCATTTACACAGATGTTGTAATAATGATATGAAAATCTATTACGAATCCTATTCTATCTTCATTAATATACAAAACTTCTAACTTAAGAAAGTGTTAAATGATATTCAATCAATAACTTTAACATTTACTCATCTTTTAACTACTCTACTGTCTTCAAAATACATTTAAGACGGTCTCTCCTCCCAAAAACTAAAGAGAACCCTTTGACTCACATGGCTTTTAACTGTAAATCTGTACAACTCAAATACCCTTCTCACCTAGGATATACTTTTATCTTGTACTATTAGAGTCGTTTTTTGCTTAGAAAACTGTTGATATTCATTGTCTATCTGATGAACTTGGCTTTTAACAGCAAGTAAACTAATGTGACCATATCTCATAAGCCATATCCGGAGACAGTTGTACCTGTACTCAACACAATCCCACTTGCAAGCAGTATTTACGCTTTTTTGGCAATTTCATTTTCACGTGTTAACACTTAATTGAAACATAAAACAAAATAATATTCTATGACATATTCAAGGTCGCAACATGACGACCGCACCATTGTCGTCACATGAAGATGCTATACCTGAACTAATAATTAGTCAAAATAATAAAAACTGGCTGATTATTTATTTCTAGTGTATCCGTGCTACAGACTTCATAATATAAGGTATGATGTAAAAGAGTTTTTCGAGGGCGATTCTTGGA